TTAAGAAGTTGGGTACGCTGTGTCGGAATTTTATTTTGACAGGTCAGGTCACATGACTAACTTTTAGTAACGTTAAGAGAGCAGCATTGTGGGTCACAATCGGCATGGGCAGGCAACAGAGACACTTAATAGAAGTTATCACCATTCTGCATGTGGTTTAAGAGGCGCAAACGTTTTCACGGTGTTACGCGGTGCTTGCCGAAGAGACAAGCAGAGAAGAATTAAGAATAAACCTCCATTGACATCAGTACGAAGCGTGGCCTTTTTTGTTAGACCTGTGCAGCTACACCCATCCATCCACCCACCCATCCATCCACCCATCCATCCACCCACATTGACAACACTGTGAAATGTGTCAGGTTTTCAAATTCAAGTCTATGATAAAAATAACTACCAAACATTAGCTGTTAATGAATGTACATTACTGTGTTCGATGTCATCCAGCTCATAAACAGCCTGTGAAAGGTTCAGTTAAAGGATCGTCTTTATTCCTCTGAGCTCACATAACATCTAAGACCTCTGAGAGTTGTTGCAGTCACTTGTAGGTTTTATAAAAGCTTCGATCCACCACCAGTCAGAACACAGGACTGTGGCTGCAGCGTGTTCTCCAAGATCGCTTTAGTCTGTTTTATTGTGGTCATCAGACAACAAAGTTATTTACATTTTTATTTTAAAACTTTCATTAAAAATGAAATTATGGATTACATTTCTGCTGTTTGTAGATTAGGGGTGAACTCTGACTCAGTGACGTTATCTGTCTGAACATGTTCACGACAATGAAGAACTCTCTGAGGACTGATCATAAACACCTGTTGGTGTTGTTCTAAATGTGCTCCACAGGCCTGCTCTTCATTATTAGCAGTTATTATTAACCCTACCATTACTAGTAGTCACACTTCTACAACATCGTCGGCGTTGCCACAGATCACTCCAGCATCTTCATAGTGGGCACAGTTATGGATCCCCACGCCGGCATGTTGGCAGTGGAGCAGGCTGGACTCGGTTCCTTCACACTGAACATCATCCAGAAGAATCTGCAGGTCCTTCCCCTCACCGAACTCAGAGTTCTTGGCTGCTTTCAGTGCGTACCGGAAGCCCAGCTGCCGGCAAACCACTCTGGCACTCTGCATGGCCCACAGGTCGTCACACACGGTACCCCACTGCCCGCGAACATAGATCTCCACCCGTCCACGGTCACTGCGGCCACGTTCGTCCCCAGCCAGTCTTACCGCTCCGTTCTGCAACTCAGGTGCACTGTCCATTCTGGATTTGCCCTTCCTGCGCCGGCCCTTCCGCCTTGGAGTCCTGTGGGGTTTGGTAGTTGTTGTCGGTGGTGCAGCGGTGGTCCTTTTAGGTCCTTGGTCACCGAGGCGATCAATGAGCTCCTGGAGCCAGTCGTAGGGTTCTGTGGGTTGGGCCTCGAGCTTTTCTTTATTTGGTGGCTCAACACCAATCAGTGCTAACGGCAAAAACACCAGAACAGAGATGAACAGAAACAACAAAAGGAATCGATTTGAGGAGTGAAACTGTGAGTGTCTGAAGGGAGACTTACTTTCCTGGGGTAGAAACCTGATGACATTACTTTTGATTTTGACAGGAAGAGGATCATAGTGACACTGTCTCGGTGGAGCACGTCTGAAAATCAACAACAAACAACATGAGACTTTGTGAGACGGCATCTCTGCCTCTACTTGAACATTTTCAGGTTGACCTTGTTGATAAAGTTTCTTTATACTTTACAAAACTCACACAATGGTGGAGAGAGTTTAATAAAGACCTTGATATATTGGTTTTAGTTCCCTGACAGGACAGGAAATGAAACAACCAGCGTTCATTGAGTTCACGTGACCGTATTCAACACTTCACTGTGTTGGTGGTTCTGAACAGCTGACAGTCGTCTCCTAGAAGCACAAACAGGACTCTCTGCACAGTGACTGGTGGAAACTACAAACTACAAAGTCCAGACCTGCTGTATTTCCACGGGGGTTGGACCCTGTGTCCTGCTCACCTGGAGGGATCCACCACTTTGTAAATGACTCCTGAAGGTGACGTAGCACTCGGTTCTCCAGTGGACATGAAGTAAAGCTCACCTGACGAAAAAGGGCCATTCCACCAGAAAACACAGACGTTAGAATGAACAAAGAGCGAGTCCGACAGATAAAGAAACGTTTGAGGCCGTGTGTTGATTCATTACCAGCTTCATCCTCTGCGAAGGAGATGATGTACTGGTGATAGTTGTTGATGAGTCCAGGGAAGGCACAGGTCAGACCCAGGCCCATACAGATCTCATGGTACCTCCATTCCTTTGTGCTTCTGTCCTCCTGCAGACTCATCAGACGCCTGCAACACAAACCAGCCCACAGCTCACTCCCCCGTAGTTCATCACTGGTCGGACTCGTGTGACACACCCATCGATGTCGTCTCTGTTTTATACTGTCCTATTTCAAACAAAGTCCTTTAAGCAGCGTCAGAAAACATGAATGAAAACGTGATACAACAGCGGTGGAGCATATGTTCATATTTCAGAGTGTGTGAAATACTATGAATGGGACGGAACACTAAACCTGATGAAGATCATCCTCGTTAAACCTCATTAAACCTGATTCCAGTAACAGAACACAGGTTTTGTCAGCAGAGGCTACCTGAAGGATCCCAGTTTCAAATCCTGGACAGCGCTGATGAACAGTGTTTAGCCCTGAACGTCTTGCCTTTCATCGCTTTTCAACACTGACTTATGACAAATATAAGTCGACTTTACTTGACACAAAGACATATCAAAGTTAAAATGGATTAATGTTAATTAATCTAAAACATAAAAGAAGTGATTGCAGGACTATCTACCCTTTCAGTCTTTACCAGATTGACTTGTGGCCACATTGGGTCACTGCAGTTCTACCCCAAAGCGCTCTCATGTGTTTACTGAGGAGAAATCTGAACAGTTCAGGCATTTCATATAAGATAAGACATACCTTTATTTATCTCACAGTAGAGAAATTCATATCAAGATCATTCACATTCAGCTCCTCACGTCTCTCTTTCCCCCGAAACAAATCATTTGGAAAATGATTCTACACATCGTTTATGAGATCATCCCCGTTCAAAGAAAACAGACAACAAAAATAAATGAATTCTAAACAACACAACCACAGATCCATGGACCCAGCATGTTGTCACAGCTCCTGAGTGCTCGTATCGTTCAGAACCAGTGCTTTGGGTCCTTCTGAGGAGCTCGGGCTCCATCTGGTCCGTGAGTGAACCCACTCATAACCGCCTTCACGGTCTCCCACAATAAGGTAGGAGACACATCTGGAGGATTATTTTCAGAAATAAAACAAGCGAACTGTTCTGTGAAATATCGTCTAAAGTTTGATCTTTACTGACGTCTCTGTCGGGCTGCATCAGCCACAGATGCTCAGCTGGACTGAGGCCGAGGCTCTGACCACAGCGGCCATCTTGTGCTCTTTAAACCAGTTTTGTGGAGATTTAGTGTGTCAATAATAAAAATACTGGTGAGCAACAGTTCTAGCAAAAGTTCCCTGAAGAAAGGAAATTGCACTAAATTGTGCTTTGGTGGCGGCCATGGCCCAGCGGTGCCGGTCCAGAGAGCAGGCGTGAACACCCGTCTGGCAGCTTTTCAGCTTGTCTTGATTCATTTATGAAATCCTTCATTGCAGGAAATGCAGGCGTCAAACATCTACTGCTGCACAATATTTGATTTTCTAGGTTCAACTTACCCACTCATGAAGTCTCCAAATATGTACATGCCGTTCAGGTTGGGATATTCACAGCCTCGGTACACGTAGCCGCCCGTCACCGACTTGCCCATCTTGTGAGGATACGCATAAATAGGCAGGACATCATCTGTGGGAAAACCAAAAGCTCATGACTGGTATCACTCTGCTCCTAGATTTCTAATTTAAGTTCCATTCATTTATTTATTGGTTTCATATTTATTTAACAGATGATTTAAACGTGGCCACTCAAACCCAGTTCCATCCACACAGTTGATGCGGATGTTGAGACTGCTCAGAGTATACGGTCAATAAATAACACGTGTGGTTCATGAGGTGTTGCATCTATCTTAAAATAAGTGCACCACAGTCCCTGATGGTCTTTTTCATACCCTGATTAGGGGACCAGTAGCGTGTGCAGGCCTTCGTGTCACATGACTGATGGAGCAGGTGGGTAGCTTTATGGGAGGTGTTTACCGCTGCACGGTGCACAGACACCGACCAAAGGAAATCCGTTCAGGAGCTGATGAGTAGAATCAAAATTCTACTTTCTTAAAGATTCCCTCCTGGTTCTAAGTTGGAACAAATTCCCGATGGTTTAGTGTGAGGTCGGTACACAACCCACACAGCGGCCATGTCTGTCAGACAGGAAGCTGGCTGGAGCGTCCACTGTCACTGACTATCATGACCACTGTGAAGTCTGGGAGAAAGATCTACGCAGCACTTTGATTAGATCTTCCTCTTTTCTTGTCCTGCAGAGGCTCACAAACTTCATTTATTGTACTTGATATTTGATATTATGCTGAACAAACCGCCCCTTGCCATTGACAGGTTCTTGCATTTGAGTCTCTACAGGTGAGGAGGATGAGTGGAAGACCATCTTCAACACACCTGTGGGACACCCACCCCGTTTCCTTTTAGTCCTGAAGCATCTATGGCAGAGAGGGAGAACCCAGAGCACCACCTGACCTGCCCTGATCCATTCTGTGACACTGTTAAACACCAACAGACTCCAGCTGCACTGCTGGACCAGGTCAGGAAGCCTGTTTGTCCTCCATGAATGTTCCACTGAAGCCTGAACTACACAAACTGTCCCCTCATCTCAGAAACTAATGAAAGCCTCATCAGCTCCATTAAAATACACACCACCTTCCGAGTCTTTTGTTCCATGTCTCTTCCGTGTGAGCCGTGTGAAGACCTCACATAGATTCTAGGAACTTTAAATTTATACTAGTCATTTAACCCCAATTTATGTTCTAATTCAGAAATCATTTAAAGAAAACAACTGGAGAGTAGTTATCACATCATGACAACAGGAAGAGTAGACAGTAGATATCCCAGCATATAACCATATGGAGTGTGTCCAGTTTGATTTTTTTTCTTTTTCTTTTTCTTTTTATAGGACCAAGTGTAGTTGAAGCTCGGGTGTTTATACAATTGCTCTAAATCATGCTAAGGATGACTGCTAACTTTTTCTGATGAAAGAATCTCTCTAACCAGACAGTAACACTATGGTTAAAAAAACAAAAATGAAACTACAGGGGAGGTAAGGGTGGGAGCATCTGAAGGAAATTCTCATGTCATACATACATACATATATACATATATATGTACTGTATACTGTATACGGTACATATATATATATACTGTCTAGTATACAGTGTATATATATGGAGCTGCTGCTCATGCTTACTACAGTAATTACTCTGTACCCGTATGAAAACTGTGTACATGAGAATATTGATTATAGCAGCTTTGCAATGGGTGGAATAAATAAAAATTGGGCAGGTAAATCCTTTGGGAGGTAACAGCCGTGGTTTTCTGGTCCTGTCTGAGAACATGACTGAGTGAAGGCAGCACCTACCCAGGGAGCTGTTGGCACACAGCTTCTTATCATAACAGGAAAAGCCTTCCTTTGCTCTCCAGCCATAATTTCGACCTCTCTCAATAATGTCGATTTCCTCAAACTTGTTCTGGCCGACGTCACCACAGAAGATGCGTCCTTTTCCCTCCTTGCTCCGAGGATCCCCCCGGTCCACTGAGCAGCGCCACATGTTGCGGACACCATAAGCGTAGACCTCAGGCCGAGTGCCCCACTCATGGATGAAGGGATTATCTGGAGGGATTCTGTACAGTGGGCCTCTCTCGTTGTCATCCACATCGATGCGAAGAACTTTACCTAAGAGAGCTGACCTGGAACAGATGTGGCGATGTGGTCAGTCTGTACTCAGGCATCTTTCATCCAAAACACACAGAAATGTGCAGTTACTCTCATACAGTGACACTGACTATATTTTCTACTACTGAAGGCCATCTGCGGTGCTCTAACTGTACGGTTGTTTTGCAGCCTCCTTACTTGTTCTGAGCATTCCCATATTTCCCAAATGGGTCTCCTGCCATTCCACCATCACCGGTGAAAATGTACAAGTACCCATCATCTGCAAACAGCAGCTGTCCTCCATTGTGGTTGGATGCTGGTTCATCGATCTCCAGAATAACTCTGGAAGGAAAATGTGCACAAGAAATAGGAAAGGAATGGAAGTGGCATAAACCATTTATGCAAACAGGCTGTTTCTCTGAGAGACTATTACTGCAGCTACAGTCATACCCACCGCTCAGAGGCGTGGTCCACCACGTTCATGTCACTGCCTGACACATGGAACTCACTGATCCTGATCCGCTCATCAAAGCCCACCTCCACTGAGTAATACACATACAGCTTCCCGTTGTACTTGTATTTTGGGTGAAAGGTGAGTCCCAGAAAGCCTCTCTCGTCACCCTCCCATGATGACGTTAGCACCGCTTTGGTAATGTTTAAAAACGGTCTCTCCAGTTTGGACCGGTCTGGAAGGAACGTCCACACTAAGCCCACCTGTTCTGCCACAAAGAACCGATGTGTGCCGTCATTGGCATGCACCATGGCCAGCGGATTGCGAAGCCCGTTGGCCACTTCTTCTAGGCACAGCTGCAGACAGCCATCTGAGTCCGACTGAACCCGGCCTAGGTTCTGAGTAAGCTTCTGATTGCTGAGCAGATGAGGATAGCAATAGTCCACATCATCGAGCGCCAGGTGCTGGCAAAGATGGGTCTGGTTTTCTTTGACTTTTGCTATGTGTGGGTCATCAGATAAGAGAGGGATGACGAAGCGACACTTTCCCCACAACTGAGAACAGTAGTCGGGACAGAGGCCCGGGATGGTCCTGACTGGGGTGCTCGGGTCCTCGGCATCAAAGAGGTGAGCTGCATATGGAGAACACTCCTAACATCCCAGACATGTGGAGAAAAGAGAAGGAGAAGCAATAAGGAGGAAGAATGAGGACATTGAGCAGTATGTAGAACTTCCATTAGACTTGCATTAACTGTTCTTTGGCACCAGAGGGCACCAAAGCCAGCTGTGAGCACACCTCTGACATCACGTCATGCCATCGAACCACCATCACATAAACACTGGTCCAGTTTTTCTAGTCTTTTGCTGTTTTTGACTCCCACCAACGTTTGAGGGAATATCTGTTTGTTTAGCTGCTAAATGAATCATCTTGTCATCATCACTGGAAGATGAACTCCTATGAAAACAGCACTACACCCCATTAGTCAGTATCAGGACGATACCAAGACCGTGTTTGAGTAGAAACAAAAACTACAACTGACCGCTTTCACATCTGATCAACTGTTAGCATTAAAATGTTGAGTAGAGCAGCTTTAACAAAAGGAAAACTCTGGTGGCCGAACAGTGGAGATGAAACAATTCAGTCCAATTTAAATTTTATCTGTATCGCGCAGTTTACATCATATGTCATCCCACAGTGTGAAC